TGTGCAATAAATGTCAAGTTAATTTATGTTGTGGCAAAGGATTGGCTTGTTTCACTAAATGGCATACAACATAAATTTTAATTATTATTTAGTTTTATAATTACTAGTTTTTTTTATTTTTATTAATAATATTGACAAGTCAGTCAATAATTTTTAAGTTTTTACTTTTGACTTTTTTTAACATTATTATTATTTGTTATTTTATTATATTTTACTATTTTTAACATTTATATAGTATATATATATATATATATATATATATATTGTTTTGTATTTGATAGGTTTAAGTTATAGTTTTCTAAATTTGTTTGAAAATAAAAATAAAAAATGATATAATGTCAAAGAATCTATAACAGTAACTGGCCTGAGATTTTTTTTAAACATTATTACTTATAATATTGTAATATCTTATTATTTAAAATTTATGTATTTTTTTCTTTTTGTTATTGACATATCCAACAAAATTTGTTTTAGGTACATTTGGCTTATAAAAAAAACGAATAATAGAATTCATAGGATGTATGTTACTATGGAATTCCTAAATATAATAAATAATATCGTATAATGTAAATGCATAGTGTTACTCAGAGGTAATAAAGTACAAATTAGTGGATTTTTGGAGTAAAAATCCAATTTTGATTTTTCAAATATTTTTCATACTATCTTAAAGATATACAGATAAATAGAAAATTAAGAAAAAAATAAAATAAAAAATCATGCATTGACACGAAATTGCATTGTTACGAAATTCAATGTATGCAACAAGAAAAAAAAAACATTTTCCGAAAGTCCCAAAACTGTTAACGAGGCTGTATTACAGCTGAAAGAATTTGAAGTAAAATTCAAAGATGAACAATTCATGTATTTCAGTGACGATAATTCTGTAGTAATGTTTACATGCTAAGCAAATTTAAGTGCTTTATGTGACGCTAAACATGTATTTGGAGATGGAACATTTTCGTATTGCCCAAAATTATTTTCTCAGCTATATACCATTCACATTTATCAAAATTTTTTTTACGTACCAGTAGTTTTTTGTTTTTTAGAAGATAAACATACGTCAACATACACAACTATGTGGGTAACACTTCAAAATCTCTGTACGCATATTCTCGATCGGACTCTTAATATTAAAGAATTTCATGTTGATTTTGAAAAATCAGCTCATAACTAAATTTTAAATGTTTTTCCACAGTGTAAAATTAGATGCTGTACATTTCATTTAGCTCAAGTTATGTTGTAAAAAAAAAATTAGACGAGTAAAATCATTAAGGACTTATACAGCTCTAATAAATACAAAAATATACAATATGCTTAAATGCTCCAAAAAATGACTAACTAGTAAATATGTAGTAAAATAAATGTTACTTTACATTATCTCATAAATACCTCGGTTATGGTTGTAAATGTCTAAACATTTCTTTTTTTTTTTTTTTAATTATACATTTTTACGTTATTTTTTTTATTTATTCATATTTTACAGGTTCTTACAAATGTATAGGTACCACCGCCAAATTATAGTTTTCCGATAACTTATAAAAACAAAAACCGTGGTCTAAGATTTCAATACAAATGACTGAAGGAATTTGAATGGCTAACATATTCCGAGTTGAAAATGGGTGCTTTTTGTAAATTTTGTACTGTTTTTGCAAAGTCTGGTGGTGTAAATAATAAGCCGTTAGGTCCACTTGCTGTTAGGGCCTTAGATGAATGGAAAAATGCCAAGTAGGTTTTTATAATATAGTAATTTTTTAATGTTTACAATTTATCTTATTAAATTGCTATGACTGTATTTTAGATTTTTTCGTGAACATTCAAAAAGCTTTGTCATAGATATTGTGTCGTGGACTCTGACCATTTTCTTAGTGTTTATTCTAAACAAAAATTATCAATCATTAATCAGTTAGATTTAGAAAGGTTGGTTCTGATTTACTAACCAGGTTTTTTTTGGTATAGTATATCACACATGTACCTAATACTACTACTAAGTAGTTAATAATTATGTACCTAATATGCAATATTATTTTTAAACATAATTACTTACTTTATTTTTTATAATTTTAATCAAGAGCTGAACAAATCAAATCAAATAGAAAAAAGCTTATCCCAATTATTAATTGTGTGATCTTGTGTGGTCGTCAAGAAATAGCTTTGCGAGGTCACAGGGATTCTGGAAGTTAGTATTTTATGATGTTTATAAAATTGTATATATATTTTTAATAAATACTAATATACATCTATTCAATTTTTAAATAGACAGCAACAACTAATCAACCAATGTAGGTAATTTTAGAGCAGTGTTTCCCAAACGGTGGTCCGTGGGCCAGTCATAGGTGGTCCGCGGTACCTTTCTTAGTTTTCTATTAAAAATTATTTTTTTTTTTTAAACAGCGAAAAATATTTTATTTTACCGTAATATACGGTTATCTTATCGTGGTTTCTGCCGACGACCGATAAGTATTTTCCACTTTTATAAGTGTGTAGGTATCAGAGTAATAAATTATACTATCATCGCAAACGATAATGATCATGTCAATTGCAAACATCGTTGCTTATATATTTATACTTTATGAGTACCGACAAATAACTGTTATGGATATTGATTCAGTATGCGCTCGTTATTCGTTTGATTACCACGCAGTACGTTTTGAAAGAAATTAAAAGTTTATAGTTTGGTTTTTTTTTAAGTGTTATTTTTTTGAAACCTAGTAGGACTTAGTTAAGAATATGTCACGAAAGAGGAAATATGATGATAGTTATATTAAATATGGATTCACTGAAATTGAAGTAAATCGAAAAAATAAGACCTCAATGTGTGATATGTACTGTTGTGTTTAGTAACGATGCTTTGAAACCAGCAAAGCTACTGCGGCATTTGCATACGATTCATCCTACGCTCAAAGACCGACCAACCGAATTTTTTGAAGGAAAATGTAAAAGCTTAAAGAAAATGAAACTAGGACCAAGTGGGGCAAATGTCGCATTGTCACAGCAAGTGCGAACTGCATCATTTGAAATTTCCCAACTAATCAGTAAGTCAAAAAAAAGCACACAGTATCGGCGAAACATTAATTAAGCTTAGCTTGCCAATAGCTGCAAACATTTTTGAAGAAGATGCCAAGAAAAAGATTCAAAATATGCCACTGTCCAATAATACAGTAAAAGCACGAATTGGAAAAATGTCATGCGATATCGAAGAGCAACTACTAGGTAAAATAAAAAGTTCCCCTTACTTCGCTCTTCAATGTGATGAAACTACTGACATTGCGCAATGTTGCCAGTTATTAGTTTTTGTGCGGTTTTTAGACGTTGAGGATAAGACCATAAAAGAAGAGTTATTGTTGTCAAGTGTACTTGAGACTAGACTTGTACATGTCGAAAGGAATCGATGTAATGCAAATCATTAGTAATTATTTTGAAAATCATGATCTCAAGTGGGAGAAACTAGTTGGCTTTTGTACGGACGGAGCTCCAGCTATGCTAGGATGTCGTTCAGGTCTTGCAATATTAGTAAAAGAAAAAAAATCCGTCAACTTTAACGACACACTGCGTCATTCATCGGCAAGCGTTAGCTACAAAAAACATTACCAGAAGAATTAGCTAATGTTTTGAAACTGGCAATAAAATTAGTGAATTTTGTAAAAAGCAAAGCACTTAACACACGTATTTTCAAAAAACTTTGTGTTGAATTGGACTCCGAATACGACACATTACTTTTTCATACAGAGGTTCGCTGGCTTTCAAAAGGGAATATGCTAAAACGGTTGTATGAACTAAAAGAGGAAATGAAAATATTTTTAAACGAGAAGGATTCAGAGTTACTTGAAAAATTTTGTGATTTGAAATTTGAATTACAATTTGCTTATTAAGTAGATATTTTTGAGCACTTAAATAACCTTAATTTGCAACTTCAAGGTTCGGGACACAAAACCTTGGAATTTAGAGCAAATATTTTTATTTTTGAAGATAAAATTCGCGCATTTGTATGCAAAATTAATCTATGGATGAATAAAATCGAGAATAATAATTATTTAGCATTTCAGATATTCCAAACTCTTATCAACGACGATCAATATGCTGATATTTTAATCGAAATTCAACATAACATAAAAAAATATCTGGAAAAATTAAAATCTGAATTTATACGCTACTTTCCGGAATGGAACGAAGTTAACAGTGTTATTTCATTTGATCATGTATTTCACTCATAGAATTGTAAAATTGAATTCAACGTAATTTTTGATTATAAAAAATTTCGTTTTTGTTTTATTCTTATTAAGTAATAATTGTTAAACTTAAATTCTTACTTTGACAGTTATTAAATAATTTGCCACTACTATATTTTATTTTTAATAAGCACTAGTAAGTAAATTCGTATTTACCGCCACATAGAATAAATGTTTTTATATCATAATTTGATTAGTTAATTTTATTCACTGGATTTTCCTGGTAATACACTAATTATTATATTTATATTATTAATTTTATTATTATGAAAACTTAATTTGTAAGAGCCAATGAGAATGCAGTATTTGGAAAAAATTGAAAGTAAAGTTGATTGTGCACACATAACTTTCCTTAGCCTCAACGAATTTAAGCAGTTAATAACTCAAAAGAAAGAGTTTAATCCACTGAGTTTTCTGAGAGTAAAACGATCTAGATCCATATATTAGAAGAGAAGCTAAGATAATTTGAATTACTTGAATGAATGTGTTCCATAAGAAATGTACAGGGGAGGATGGTGTTTGAGTATAACTTGAGGAAGGTGTGAGTTGAGTAAATTCCAATGATTGATGACATATCTGTGTCTAAATACCTTTCATTTTAAAAGAAATGAAGGAAATCGGACGGATAGAACTGACTTTAGTTTTCATAAATTTTTTTAATATATAAAATTAGTACATTAATATCAAAATCTAAACCTTGAATTAAATCTAGTCCTATCTTTACTGAAAACCAGGGCTCAAGAGTTAAAGCATTTGCTTATTTTTTAGATTTACTTAAAATGTAGCAGAGTGCTATAGAAGTGTATGTCAAGTTATAACACTTACAATTATGAAATTTGAACGTGCCTCTTTTTACTTTTTTCAGCAATTTTTTAAAAAAATGCTTATTTCCAGTTTTTTTGATTATTTTTGCTTATTTGACCAGTTATTTTACGTTTTTATAGTATTCTCCTGCAAAGTCATTTTTGATAGAATTAAAATTAAAAATAACTCTTATCTTATCTACGTTGTCACGTAGTTCGTCGTCGTTCAAGGCATCTTTGTACGGTTAACAATGATATTCCAATGCTGAAAAAAGAACTGAGTGTTAAACATCAGAATGATCAGGATTAGAAAGAACAGTTTACATTTTATTTTTCAGAAAATTCCCTTAGAAAATCCATAAAATCCTTTAAGTCTTGAATGTGAAGATTTATTTTTATTTTGTTTGATTTTTTAGTTAGAATTTTATAGTTTTTTTTTTTTAATAAAATTTTTTGCTTAATTTAAAATTTTTTAAATGCTTTAATGATGTTTTTAAGCGTTTATTTTAATGATTTTAAGTGCTATAAGTCCCTGCTAATAACTAAAATAAGGATTAAAAATATACCCCAACAGCATAATGTGACTTTAAAAGAACTAAAAAAGCTTCAGTCAAAATAAATATAATAGTCGATCATTTATGTTTGACAATATAAGATGATATAATATTATGATGATATTATAGGTAATAAGTTGTTATGAGTAATAATATAGTAGTGTATCCATATTCTTGTGAGCTTTCAAATTTTTTCGTAATCTCAAAATCTTTACCAATCTCTGTGATTAGTTTATAGTTGATTTCATACTTTGTATTTAAAATACAACTAGAATCAATAGTTATAAAGTATGAGCAGCACATTGTATACTCCTCAATACCTCCGATTGACTACTGCACTCAAATCGTTGAAAATTGAAGGCAATGTCTCTTGATTATTTTCATTTTCTTGCTCATTTATTATATTAATATCTTTATCAGAACATTCAAAAACATTGTTACTGTTTTCTTCGTCTATGTGAACTTGGTAATCTTCAAAATTGTGTTCATTTTCAAAACGTTCAAGAAATAAAAACGTTATTCAAGAACGTATTACTTTAAAGCATTCAAGAACGTATTACTTCAAAATGTTTTTCTAATCAAATGTAAAGGAACATATTATTTCGATAAGTTCTTTTGATTAAATGTTCAAGAACGTAATATTTCAAAACTTTCTTCTAGTTAAATTTACAAGACCGAATAACTTGACAATGTTTATTAGTTCTATCATTCAAGAACTTTACATTTTTTTATGTTTTTTTTGGCGAATATTTCGTAAAACATAAACAATTTTAACGTTTTTTTAGTAAATGTTCGGTGAACCATTTAGTTTATAAAGTTACAATCTAAAACCGTTTGTTGAACATAGTTGGATTTAACGTTTATCACAAAGTTCAAAAACAAATTATGGAACTGAATTAAAAATTAACGGTTAAGGTAACCCTGGTACTGTAAATCAGTGAATATATTAAAATATAAGGTTGACTAAGCATAAATAAACGATATTTGGTTTTTAAATCTCAATATCGGCGTAAGCAGATAAAATAAAGACGTAATAACAAAACATATTTCAATTGCAATAACGTTTTAATAAGAAACAAATAGTAAGCTATTTATATCAAGAAATATAATCTCGCTAAAAAAGGGATGAAGTTGAATTGATTTTGTTTCGGATAGAATTTAAGTACTATTGTTGAATTATACGTGATTTCATTATGTTAAGCGACGTGTTGAATACGTATGAATATAAAAAAACAAAGCTTTTAGTCTTCTTTTCGATGATACAGAAAAACGAGTTATTTTAAATTGAACTTACATTATGTATACATAAATATTCAAATGCATATTCATGGCATTAAAATATAACGATATAATACTTCCAAATATTAGTAGACAATTTCATTAATTCTTCAACTATGTAGTCAATAATGTAAAATAAAAAAAAATTATCAATAAATTAACGGTATTGACAAAAAATCTTACGATTGATACAGGATGTTGATAGTATTTTAGATTATAAAGCTAAAATTAAAATCAAAGGATGTGATTAATACTTTTTTACATTTCTGTGTACTATGTAAATTTAAATAAATTATTATTTAATCTAATTACCAACTATTTTAATATGAAATAAAATGACACTTACAAAAATGATATTATATACATTTTTCTAAAAAGTACATCAATTGCATTTACATTCTGTTTTAAAAATATATCATATTATAGCCTTGGGATCTTGTGTTCCATAATTTTTATTTCTCCAACGGTCACGATTATATTTTCATAATTTAATTATCTATATTTGCTTGAAATTATTTAAAATTATTCGTCGAATCAACAATTTAAAATCTTTAAAACTTAAACATGTTTAAAAAAACGTTGATTAATACACAATCGATAATATATTGTATAATATATCCAACATGACATTTTATCATTATTAATTAGGCAATAACGTTGACTTTTTGATTTCACTTTTTTACCAGCAACATATGTCATATAGTAAATTGGTAACTTGAGCTGACGTTATTATTTCGTTTTTATTTTCACCGGCTAATAAAGGTAGACGAGAAGCTATTATATTAATACAGAAATGGTCAGTTACCGACGCGTTATAATGTTTTTTTCCAGCAAATATATTTTTAATGATAATAGTTAATTCTTTTGCAGCATTTTTGACTATAAAATATTAAGTTACTACAGTGGCGTAGCCAGGATTTTTAAATGGGGGGAGGGCTAACCACTTTTTTGGATAAGTAAGGTAAGAGAGGATATGAGAATTCACCCTTAACCCCCCCCCCACCATCTACTACCAAGTTTCTAAACATAATTCAAGCATTTTAGTGTAGTGTTAAAAATATTTATTAATATATAATTTATAATAATAATAATAATTTTGGTTTCAGTGTTCAGTCACTTGCTCCACTCTAACAGCTGCATCCTCTTAGGCAAATTTCTGGCAAATTCAGTTATTATTTAACTTCCATTGAATTGCTCTTTTTTATTTATATTAGCCATAGCAAACCCATTCAGTCTGTTTTCCGATATGGTGCTTCTTAAAAAAATTTTTAAGCGATTAAGTGCTGAAAACGTTCTTTCCGGAGTGAAAGAGGTAACTGGTAACGTGGCGAATAATTGTAAAAGTATTTTAATGTTAGGTCGAAGATTGGTGCGATGAGAGTGTGAATCAAGAACAGAATTCGGTTTTGGAATAGTATTTTTAGTATTTTGACTCAATTTTTACCTCCGTATGAATAGGTCAGCTCTGATTGTAGATGAGGTATCATCATGGAGATCTTGGACATATATTTTAGCAGCTTTTATAATATTTTTATCGTCATACATA